TTTTTTTTTTTAATTTACATTACACTAGCAACTGATTATTTAATTTTGTGACCTGTTAGATCTTTTCCTCACCCCAAGATCCTCTGTGCCATTTTGCTTCCTAGTCAGTATTGTTTCTTCTGTATTTGACATCTCTCTTAATAGGGTAGAACTTTCATTTTTGTTGTTTCTTTTCCCATTTCCTTGATTTATCAAGATCACTTTTTTTTTTAATTTACATTACACTAGCAACTGATTATTTAATTTTGTGACCTGTTAGATCTTTTCCTCACCCCAAGATCCTCTGTGCCATTTTGCTTCCTAGTCAGTATTGTTTCTTCTGTATTTGACATCTCTCTTAATAGGGTAGAACTTTCATTTTTGTTGTTTCTTTTCCCATTTCCTTGATTTATCAAGATCACTTCAAATTCCAACAAGAGTGTTCATGTGTGTTACCATTAAAATGCTTTTAAAAGAATAGAGGGAGACACGTTCCTGTGCATAGGTATGGAGAAATGCATGCATGTTGGTTGGTGATTGCTGGTAATTAATTTTCTGAATACTCCAGTTCTGTTTCAGTGCAAATTAAATAGGTTAATTTGTACCACCGCTGAAGTTGTCAAAGTTATCTGAAATGGATGAGGAGTTCCCAAACGTGGTTAATCACATCGCAGCTTTGGGCAGTAGCTCTTTAAACTGTTCCAACTAGATTTACAATAAAACATTTGTTCATTGTCAAAATATATTAGTCAGTAAATATTTTAAAAAGACATGTGTATAGTTGATTTAACACAGGGAAAAAAAAATCAGTGTTCATTTACTCGAATTAATTTGTTTTACTTCAAGTCTCCTTTGCCACTTAGCCTTACATCTCTTCCAGTGGGAGCTCAGCATCTCCACACCATACACACCCCGACAACTCCTTTTTCCTTTAGTAGTGTATTGGGAGAGGAGGGAGTTGCTTTATGGCCCATAAAAAGCTTTATAGTTTTTTATTATTTGGCCTTCTGAATGTCTACTGTTATGTACTACGTGTCTCCAAGGGTGGAGACCAAGGTGCAAAATGATACTCTTAATCTTTCAAATTAAACACCTCCCTCCTACTACTGCAGCTGTGATGAATGTGTCAATCCTGTTCAGTCACTGCTCGCTCAAGTGGTACTTTGCACTTCCCCAAGGAGTGGAATTGGTCTCTTGAGGAGCAGTGTGAAACACCTGGGTTTTCTTAGTTATTTCTTCAATCAAATTTGGCAGCTTTCTATCTAAGGGTACCAAGGAAAAGTGTACCAGCAAGGCAGGATCTTTTTAATCTGAATTTTCCCTGCCTTCTACAGTTTTACCAGCAAGTAATAGAAATGGTAAAAGCTTTCCTGTATGAAACCTTTCAAATCTTGGAAGCTGGTCTAGTTCAGGTCTTTATTGCTACTGTATGGATTACTGTGAATCAATCTATGTTTATTACTGAAGGCAGAAGCTTAGAAAAACAAGTTTTCATCAGGGTTAAATAACCTCTGAAGTTCTTAGACTGGGATATATTCATGATGATTTTTCAGATCCATGTTATACAGTTAAAAACTACATTATTGGAACCTGTCAATAAAGGGTTTCTCTATCATGGGAAAGGTGTTTCTACTTAATGCAAATGAAAATAAATGTTTTCATTCCAAATAATTCTCTTATGAGAATGGTGCCTTTCAGAGAATGGTTGCCTTACAAAAATCCAAGATAGAGCTGCCAAGTCAGGTAATCCACAGAGGTTTAGTATGAAGATTATTGTGTTTATTTTGGTTTCAGGAAGATATAAAACACTGCTTTGGTCATTTCAATCCAGGAAAAGGAGCACAACTTTTATAGTTATTTTTGCATAAACTCATAAATCTGCATATGAAAAATACTGAGGTCTGAATTTTCAGAATTGCTGTATCTAAGAGATCTACTTTCAAATAACAGATTCTCAGCATTTTCTGAAAATCATTCCCTTTCCTAGTCAGATGCCCAAACTTACTAGTAGTTTTGGAAAATGGAGGCCTAAGGAAAAGTGAGTAGATTACTTTCTTTAAATGTAAGGTTTCTGTTAAAGTCAGTAGGTGTACAGGAAGTGTGGATACTTGTTCCATATTCAGTAAATTATTTTAAAATTACTTGTTCATGTTTCTCAGCAGGTCTTTTTCTTGATCGTTTTTTATAATTTGATCTTTACTAATCAAGGTACTTGCTGTAAGAGAAAATGAATGTGCTCAAGGATCTTTACTAATAAATGTGCTCAAGGATCTTTACTAATAAATGTCTACTTCTAGTGAATGTTCTGTTCTTAGGATTAGCAGATCAGAACTAGATAGTTTTCTAACCAGGTGAAGCACAGCCTCTTTAGTATTCATTATGCAGACAGTAAATAAATATTCCTTTTATGTTAAAGCTTATACTTTTTAAAGCCAGAAAAGAACACTCTAATGAAATAGTTGACCACTGGCTACCGCAGTCGTAAGATTTCATTGAAGTGGAACCATGATCTGTGTTGAAACTGGATCATTCACTTTAGAAAAGCATCCACACTGAGTTCATAAAGTATCTGGTTACAGAGACTGTACTACTGTAAACTTTTTGTGTGTTTAGATATCATTAGCATTAGACTTCATGCGCTACTTCCAGTGTAGTTTCTTTAATTTTTACTTTCATGTGCTGATTCTTGTTCTGTCTATGTGTGGTTTGAAGAGTCTGGTTCATGAGACTGATTAAGTCATCTTGTCACAGCAGGGTAAGCTTCTCTCCACTGCACATTCTCCACGTTCCTGTGTTCGAGTCGGCTATGTTAGACTGCAATGTCCTAAGCTCCCTGAATCTGATGAGCTTCAGCACTTGCTTGTTTCTTACCATTTCCTGACATAGGTTTCATTATGATCACATGCACAAGTGCTCTGGTCTCCACAGCACATGCCAATTGCTTGTATATGTCCTCTGCCAGAGTCTCAACTTTGTGGGAACTCTAGGATTATAGTTCAATTATACTAAGGAATGCAAAATACCACTTGTGCACATGGCCTTTTCTCTGAATAGCTCTGAATAATGCAGAGGAAATTAATCTTCTCATTCTCCTCCTGTGGAGGCAAAAATAATCCCTTCTGTGTGGGTATCCTTCCCCCCCCC